GAGAGAGAGAGAGAGAGAGAGAGAGAGAGAGAGAGAGAGAGAGAGAGAGAGAGAGATATTAAATAGATAAATAGATAATAGAGATAGATAGATAGATAGACAGACAGACAGACAGATAAACAAACATTATTTTTATTATTTCACAAACCATCCGTCAAAAGACAAATGTTAGGGAAATTAAAAGCCAGGGAGGGCTAAATCTAACCAAATTGTTTTTCAAAACATGCCTCAAATGCATCAGTGTTTGAGCCTGGTGTTCTGCAGAGGACAGATTAGTTCATATTATTAAGACCAAATGTAATTTCTGAAGATTACAAAAGGTTAAGAATGCACGTCTGTGGCATTTGGGTTTCTGGGTATGTGTATCTGTATGATGTTTGCCTCAAATGTGCATATTCAGTTGTGTTCTCATTCTGTCTGCCCAGGAAAAACTTGTATGCAGGCGGCGAGAATATCCAGATGAATGGAGACCCCCCTCACGAGGGAGGAAATGGAGGAGGGGGACACGGAGACTGTGAAGAATTGCAACGAACTGGCAAGTAAGAGACAAAAGTTCATATCTTCATATGGGATACTTTGCTAGTGTGTTATATAGGTAGTCCTTAGAATAGAAATAGAAATAGAAATAGAAATAGAAATAGAAATAGAAATAGAAATAGAAATAGAAATAGAAATAGAAATAGAAATAGAAATAGAAATAAATAGAAATAGAATAGTTGGAAGGGACCTTGGAGGTCTTGTAGTCCAACCCTCCCTGTTCAGGCAGGAAACCCTATACCATTTCAGACAAATAGATGTCCAATCTCTTCTTAAAAACCTCCAGTATTGGAGCATCCACAAGTTTTTCCACTGGTTAATTGTTCTAACTGTCAGGAAATTTCTTAGTTCTAGGTTGCTTCTCTCCTTGATTGGTTTCTGTAATCTGTAACTTATCATAACTTACAACCAGCTGCTTAACAACCCCCTGAAGTTACAACATATCTCCCTAGAACTATTTACAATCTGTTTTTGGAGCTTACAACAACTGCACACAAACGCCCCCAATCGTGTGATTGTATTTGGAGCGTTTGGCAACTGGCTCGCTTTTACGTCCATTTACAGCATCCTGTAATCAGGTGACCCTGATTTGTGACACCTTTTGCTGGCTTGCAGCGTTTGCTTCCAGTTTCCAGCAAAACAAAAAACAAAAAAATCCCTCCCATTGGGGAAAACAGATTCATATAGTGCAGTGGTTCTCAACCTGTGGGTCGGGACCCCATTTGGGGTCGATCGACCATTTCACGGGGGTCGCCAAGCAAGGCTGTCCGCCATTTTTTTTGTCCGCCATTTTTTTTGTCTGCCATTTTTCCCCCCTTTTCCAGCGGGTGCCTTACCTCCCTTGGGCTGGGCCAGCTGGTGGTCGGCCTGCTCCGTCTCTGCCACTTGCCAGCTACGCCTCGGCCGGCGCAGAGGGCGGAACCACGCATGCGCGGTGCTCCCGGGCAGGGAAAGTCCTCAACTTATGACCGGTTTAGTCCTCGACTTACGACCGGTTTAGTCCTCGACTTACGATCGGTTGGGGGTCGCGGCATTAAAAAGGTTGAGAACCACTGATATAGTGAGTGTGGCGTTTACTGCAGCCTTTGCTTAACAAATGTTGCAAAAAAAAACAAACAAAAACACCTCAGGTCTAATGACATGATACCTTGATTTTTATTCAATATTTATTGTGATTTTTATTATTGCCTGTTCACCGCCCTGAGTCCCGTAAGTAAGGGAGATAGGGCGGTATATAAATTTAAATAATAAATAAATAAATAAATAATTTACAACTGCAACATCTTAGGATGGTAATTCTGGACTCAGATGCAATCATAAATCAAGGACAACCTGTAAATAATAATAATAATAAAGTTGGAAGGGACCTTGGAGGTCATCTAGTCCAGCCCCCTGCTCAGGCAGGAAACCCTATTCCATTTCAGACAAATGGCTGTCCAGTCTCTTCTTAAAAACTTCCAGTGTTTGGAGCATTCACCGCTTCTGGAGGAAAGTGGTTCCACTGAAATGTCAGGAAGTTTCTCCTTCAGATAGTTTTAACTCGCATCCTTCTTGGGGGAAGCTATTACAACAGCCCTTAAAACTGTGTTTTGGGGTTGCTGTTTTCAAACTCTCCTTCGCTATGTGGACTAATGTCATTGTGACACTTCCTCTTCTTCTTCTTCTTAGATTTTGTGGGGGTTTAATCAAAGACATCAAGAGGAAAGCTCCTTTCTTTGCCAGCGATTTCTACGATGCCTTCAACATCCAAGCCCTGTCTGCCATTCTCTTCATCTACCTGGCAACGGTAACCAACGCCATCACTTTCGGAGGCCTGCTGGGAGATGCCACAGAAAACATGCAGGTGGGTCACGGTCCTGAAGAAGCCAACCTCGACGGAATGGAATTGGGCAAACACAGCTTTCTTTGAAGCCTCATCGCGTTGTCCTTTTTGTAGAAGTGTCCTTTCTCTCCAGCAGCCAAGATGTCATTGTGCTTTCATAATTTTTCCCACCTCCTACTACAAGGGTCTTCAAACTTGGCCCTTTGATGACTTGTGGACTTCAACTCCCAGAATTCCTCAGCCAGCGTGCCTGGCTGAGGAATTCTGGGACTTGAAGTCCACAAGTCATAAAAAAGCCAAGTTTGAAGACCCCTGCACTAAATCCTGAGATGTACTATTTTTTTATCTCTGCAAATAGGAAAGTCTGTGCTGAGAAGCATTGTTACCATTATTTCATTGTTCATGTGCTAATAAGTTCAGATCGCCATTGGTTCAGAAGGACTTGGGGGACAAAAACTGCTATTGCTTGTCCAGTGAGGGTGGAGAGGATATTTAGTAGTGATAGAAATAATTTTGGCTTGTGGGGGTGGATTGAGTCAAGGTTTAGTGCTTCTAAGACAATCGGCTTCTTTCTGAGTAGGGAATATGTTAAATAGTTTGAAAGGAGTGCTAGATTTATCTGTTTATTTATAGACAGAGTCCAGTCCTGAGTTTTGAGGTAAATGCCCCAGAGGCTATTGAATAAACACAATAAATATGAATCATAAAGGTCAAAAATAAACACAAGGATAAAAATAGTGGGGAAAAAATGATAAAAAGAGCAGCTTTCAAGAAGGAAATTAAAATACCATTCACGGTTTAAGGAGATAGAGGGTTTTTTTTTTTTTTGGCTGGGTTCCTACAAAGAAGTGAAATTTGACTGGGCAAACATATTCTCAAAAAGTCCTTGACTTACGACCACCATTGAGTGTGAAATTTCTGTCGCTAACCAAGACAGTTGCTAAGTGAACATTGCCCCATTTTTACGAACTTTCTTGCTAAGTGTTGCTAAGTGAATCTCTGCAGTTGTTAAGTTAGTAACATGGTTGTTAAGTGAATCTGGCTTCCCCATTGACTTTGCTATTCAGAAGGTCGCAAAAAGTGATCACGTGATCCCAGGACAACACAACTGTCATAAATATCAGTTGCCAAGCCTCCGGGTTTTGATCATGTGACCAGGGGGATGGTGCCATGGTTGTAATGTGAAAAACGATCCTAAGTCACTTTTTTCAGTGACGTTGTAACTTCAAGCGATCACTAAACAAATAGTTGTAAGTTGAAAACGACCTGTGCATTCTTCATTCTACTGTACTTCAACAAACGAGATGGGACCAGTGAGTAATTTCCTAAGGAAATAGGCTCAAAATTGGGTATTGGGGTGAATTTCCTAAAAGCTGCCAGCCCATGGAAAAGGCTGTCACACAAAGTGATAAGCAGTTTTTCAATAGAGATCTTCAAACATCATTGAGCAAGTAACCTCTAGTGCAGTGGTGGCGAACCTATGGCACGGGTGCCAGAGGCGGCACTCAGAGCCCTCTCTGTGGGCACGTGCGCCGTCGCCCCAGTCCTAGGCCTTCAGCTGGGTTTTATAAAATTTTTTCGCTTTAGGCCTCCGCCGCCATGTGCAAAAAAAAAAAAAGGTTCAATCAATCAATTTCAACTTCTCGTGGGAAAAAAAAAGATCTTGCAAAGTTGGAATTGATTGATTAAACTTTTTAGTCCCACCCAGTGTGCCGTTACCACCGCAGCCATGCCCACCCAATGGGCCACACCCACTCGGCACCCGATGATGCATAAGTGGGTTTTGGGTTGCAGTTTGGGCACTCGGTCTCTAAAAGGTTCGCCATCACTGCTCCAGTGAATCCTGCAAGAACAGCCATTTGTATTATGTCAATGCTTCTCGACCTTAGCATGCTGACTAGAGCATTCTGGGAATTGAAGTCCAGACCTGTGAGCATTGCCAAGGTTGAGAAACGCAGGACGAGATAATCTCTAAAATCCTTTCCAGTTCTGTGATTCTAGCAGCATAACAATCCACTAAACGCAGAAAGGCATAGATAGGCAGTCCTCGATTTACAACAGTTCGTTTAGTGACCGTTGAAAAACTTAGGACCATTTTTCACATTTACGTGGCAGCATCCATTACATGGTCACGTGATCTAAATCCAGACACTTGGCAACTGACTCGTCTTTAAGACGGTTGCAGCGTCCCGGGATCGTGTGATCCCCTTTTGTGATCTTCTGACAAGCAAAGTCAATGGGGAAGCCAGTTAACCATGTTATAACTTAACAACTGCAGTGATTCACTTAAAAACTGTGACAAGAAAAGTTGTAAAATAGGGCAAGGCTCATTGAACAACTGTCTCACTTAGCAACAAAAGTATGGGCGTGAATTGTGGTCCAGGACTACCTGCAATCAAGATTTCAATTGAGGGATGGATTTTTATAGGCAGGCAATTTCCTCTTTTGATGCGGCCCTTGGAGAGTGTAAAAGCTACCGGAGGAATGTGAATGTGGGGGCCTATAAGGAACCCAGATAAATATTTGTGAGCTCAGCAGACATTTGTTATTACAACCACCATTAATCAGAAGGATCAGCCACGGACTTGAAAACATTTGGAGATTTCAAACTGTAATTCTCTCCTGCGAAAGCCATCACTTCTGCTGAAAAGTGTTTTGGTGACTGTGAATTAAATGAAGTAATTTAGCTTCCCTATCCAGTTCAACATGTCAGTTATTTCTCTTCCCCTGCCATTGCAAGTGTAAAGCTGGGTATTTAAGATAAGGTAAGGTGAGGTGAGGTGAGGTGAGGTGAGGTAAGGTAAGGTAAGGTAAGGTAAGGTAAGATAAGATAAGATAAGATAAGATAAGATAAGGATGATGATGATGATGATGATGATGATGATGATGATGATGATGATAAAGTTGGAAGGGACCTTGGAGGTCATCTAGTCCAACCCCCTGCTCAGGCAGGAAACCCTATACCATTTCGGACAAATGGCTGTCCAGTTTCTTCTTAAAAACTTCCAGTGTTGGAGCATTCACCGCTTCTGGAGGCAGGCTGTTCCACTGATTAATATATATCAATATTAAGATAACCTTTATATATTAATAATATATATTAATATTAAGATAACTTTTATTGTCATTTTTTTACTGTGGGCACAATGGCACACATCAAAAAATGAAATTTAGGTGCCCGCTCTCAAAGTGAAACACATACACGACACACACCTAAAATATACTATATATAACATATGTGTAGACCCACACCCCTACATATACGTAACAAATAAATATTAAACACTGTCCATCTTGAATATATAACGGAAGGAGGAAGCTTGAGAGTTCACAAGGTTAATGCTGTATGGAATGAAACTCTGACTGAATCTGGATGTTCTGCTATGGATACCACGAAGCCCCTTCCTCCCATAAGGTAACAAAGAAAACAGGTCGTGAAGAGGATTGTAGTGTCCCAGATAATCTTACGGACCCTGCTCAAGCAACGCTTCTGTGCTATGTCCTGGATGGGAGGGAGGGAACTGCCAGTGATCTTTTCTGCTGTCCTCACCACTCTCTGCACCGCCTTCCTGTCTGAATGCATGTAATAACATGGATGTATTTGCTTGTTTTTTTTTGCTTCTAGGGTGTGTTGGAAAGCTTTCTGGGCACAGCCGTTACAGGAGCCGTTTTCTGTTTATTCGCTGGCCAGCCACTTACTATTCTGAGCAGCACTGGGCCCGTGTTGGTCTTTGAGCGACTTTTATTTAACTTTAGCAAGTAAGTCCGAAACGAAAAGGTGCTGGTGATATCATGGGGGGTTTCTGACAGACAAATGTATAGCAACCTATTCTAGGAGCATCCTCTAAAAATGTTGTCAGTCCTAGAGGAGATCAACCCTGACTGCTCTTTAGAAGGCCAGATCCTGAAGTTGAAACTCAAGTCCTTTGGCCACCTAATGAGAAGGAAGGACTCACTGGAGAAGGGCCTAATGCTGGGAAAGATGGAGGGCAATAGAAGAAGGGGACGACAGAGAATGAGGTGGCTGGATGGAGTCATTGAAGCAATAGGCCTGAGCTTAAATGGACTCCAGAAGATGGTAGAGGACAGGAAGGCCTGGAGGAACGTTGTCCATGGGGTCGCAATGGGTCGGACACGACTTCGCAACTAACAACAACAACTGCTTCAGTGACTCCATCCAGCCACCTCATTCTCTGTCATCCCATTCTTCTATTGCCCTCAATCTTTCGATAGACTAGCCATACCCAATTCCTGCAACCGTTCTTCAACTGAAGCGCTTTGAGAATGGTGGTTTAATTCAGACAAAGACGAAAACAAGCATTCGGTTTCTTAGTCAGTTCCAACTAATTTATAGTCTCTCTGGAAGAGATGCCTAGAGATAAATTGTTCCAGAGAAATGACCCTGTTGAGCAATATTTAATGAAGACGCCATTAATGTAATCAGCTTTATGATTCCATGGAGTTTATGATTCCTGAAGTTGAAACTCAAATACTTTGGCCACCTAATGAGAAGGAAGGACTCACTGGAGAAGAGCCTAATGCTGAGAAAGATTGAGGGCCATAGAAGAAGGGGACAACAGAGAATGAGGTGGCTGGATGGACTCACTGAAGCAGTAGGCGTGAGCTTAAATGGACTCCAGAAGATGGTAGAGGACAGGAAGGCCTGGAGGAACGTTGTCTATGGGGTCGCGGTGGGTCGGACACGACTTCGCAACTAACAACAACAACAACAACATGCTATTTCCCCCTCTTTTATTTTCCTATTTTTCAATCTCACTTGACTTCTTCATTTGCAGAGACAACGGCTTTGATTATCTGGAGTTCCGTCTCTGGATTGGCTTGTGGTCAGCCTTCCTGTGTCTGATCTTGGTTGCTACCGACGCTAGCTTTTTAGTTCAGTACTTCACCCGGTTCACAGAAGAAGGCTTCTCCTCTCTGATTAGCTTCATCTTCATCTACGATGCCTTCAAGAAGATGATCAAACTAGCCGATTATTACCCCATCAATTCCCACTTCAAAGTGAACGATATTACGCTTTATTCCTGTACCTGCATGCCACCAGATCCAGGTAAGGGAGAAACTTTTTTGCTCTGTTTGAAGGATGAATTCTTAATAAATCATTACTATATTAAATTCTAACAAAACGTGGACTCTCGCTTCCCTGTTTTGAAGTCCCAGGCTGTCGTCCCTCCAGACGAAAGTTTCAGATACCACATTTTCATCCTTATTCATCATTATTATATTAAATTCTAACAAAATGTGGACTCTCGCTTCCCTGTTTTGAAGTCCCAGGCTGTCGTTCCTCCAGATCAGTGGTTCTCAACCTTTTTAATGCCGCGACCCCAACCGGTCGTAAGTCGAGGACTAAACCGGTCGTAAGTCGAGGACTACCCAACCGGTCGTAAGTCGAGGACTTTCCCTGCCCGGGAGCGCCACGCATGCGTGGTTCCGCCCCCTGCGCCGGCCGAGGCGTAGCTGGCAAGCGGCAGAGATGTACAGGCCGACCACCAGCTGGCCCAGCTCAAGGGAGGTAAGGCACCCGCCAGAAAAGGGGGAAAAAATGGCGGACAGCCTTGCTTGGCGACCCCCGTGAAATGGTCGATCGACCCCAAATGGGGTCGCGACCCATAGGTTGAGAACCGCTGCTCCAGATGAAAGTTTCAGATACTACATTTTCATCCTTATTCCATTAGATTCCATTTGTAGGGCCAGGAGGGTGAATTTTTTCCTCCAATAGCTAATTGTGGCCTTGAGTGTTCAAGGTGAGTGGAGCGCATCCTTACTCCAGCTGGGACGTTCCATCATTTTTAACAAGTGTGGTCTTTACTTGCTGTACCTGCTTCAGTGGAAATAGTTGTCCACCGTTTGAGTCTCTCCAAGCCTCTTACGTAGCTTCTAGAGCAGACATTTCAAACCTGCGACGTCGCGCGACATATCGGGACTTTGTTGCCATTGCCAGCAATGGGGTGGGCGCGGCTTCTGCATGATGCATCTGGCCCACGGGCCGGCAGTTTGACACCTCTGTTCTAGAGCAGGGCTTTTCAACCAGTGGTACGGGTACCACCTGTGGTACATTGGCACCTGGCAGGTGGTACGCGACCATCCTAGAAAAGTAGCAGGAGATGGGAATGAGCTGAACCGGTGGCAGCACCGCACAAGCCTGAGCGAGAAATGGCTGGAGCTGCAGGGCTGTCAGGGCTCAGCGGAAGCGCCAGGATCAGTGCCGCTTTCCAGCTGATCAGTGCTTTTTCGGGGCTGTCAGGGCTCAGTGGAAGCACCAGGATCAGCGCCAGGCTCCAGCTGGAGCTCGGCGCTGATCCTGGTGCTTCTGCTGAGCCCTGAAGAAGCACCAATCAGCTGGAAAGCAGCACTGATCCTGACGCTTCTGCTGAGCCCAGAAGAAGCGCCGATCAGCTGGAATGTTGCAGCCTCTCCAGGGTCTTGTGATTTACATTCAGATGCTTGGCAACTGATTCATATTTATGATGGTCACGGTGTCCCAGGGTCATGTGAAGTGACCAAAACCTGCTGCAACCACCCAGCAGATGGGGGGAGGAATAAAAACCAAACACCCCCCCACCCCACCCCCGCTTCCAATCCTCAACAGAAATGCTCACAACAATGAAAGTCTTAGACAGGAGGAAGAGTGCGGCCAGGCGGGCAGGCAGGTGTCTTGCTTGGCTGTGGCTTGGGGGGCACTTTTTTCAGTGCCATTGTAACTTCAAACAGTCACTAAGCGAACTGTTGTAAGTCGAGGACTACCTGTACTTTATCACTTTTTTCCTTCTTTTTTTTTCTTGGTCATCAAGTTTTTGACACCTTGCTAGGCGACTGGTGGTACTCGGATGTTGCCATATGCTAAAAGTGGCACAATGGGTGAAAAGGTTGAAAAGCCCTGTTCTAGAGCGATGTCTTTCAAACTTGCCAACTTCAAGAAGTGTAGATTTCAGCTTCCAGAATTCTCCAGCCACCCGGGAAAATCTGTGCACCAATTGAAATTTCACTTATGCTGTCTTAGGATCGCAGAATTTGAAAGGTTATTAGAACAGTCTTTTTTTTAACCTTGGCAAACTCTTACGATGTGTGAATTTCAGCTACCAGAATTCCCCAGCTAGCATGGGATAAGTTCCCAATTTTGAAAAAAAACCCACTGTTCTAGATTATTCCTGAAGTGGGAAGGATCAACCCCACACTCTCACATTGATGATATTACCTAGTTGGGTCATAAAACGTTTGCAAGCAAACAGTCTTAGAGAGCACCAAGAATGCCACAGTTCAACCCTGAGTTATAGGGTAGACATTCTTTTCAAGTGGAGGATCAGCTTTTTCAATCTTCTGTTACTTTTGGGGGGGGAACGTAACGGCTTAAGATAACCATTCACCCCTTCACCACCATTTTCTGATGATTGTGACTCCCATCTGGGATATTTAAATGGGCAAAGTGAAATCTTTGTACCCCCGAGAAATGGGCTGTACATTTTGGCACCAACCACTACAGTGATGTCAGAGCTTCATTAGTCGCACACCTGTGGCCTGGAATAAACTGGGATTGCCACACAGAAGAGGGAGTCAAGCGATTCTCCAAAGCGCCTGAAGGCAGGACAAGAAACAACGGATAGAAACTAATCAAGGAGAGAAGCAACCTAGAACTAAGGAGAAACTTCCTGACAGTTAGAACAATTAATCAGTGCAACAACCTGCCTCCAGAAGTTGTGAATGCTCCAACACTGGAGGTTTTTAAGACAACCATTTTTTTTAAAAGGGTACAGGTTCTCCTGTTTGAACAGGGAACTGGACTAGAAGACCTCCAAGGTCCCTTCTAGATTCTATTCTATTCCATTCCATTCCATTCCATTCCATATTCTATTCTATTCTATTCTATTCTATTCTATTCTATTCTATTCTATTCTCTATTCTATTCTATTCTATTCTAAATTCTATTCTATTCTATTCTATTCTAAATTCTAAATTCTAAATTCTAAAACTGTCTAAAATAAGCTATGGACCGCTTGTAAGAAAATTGCTGTTTAATGTCTCACGCTAGAGATTTAAGATTGAGATATTGTAATTCAGAGGCCGCGATTGGATGAATAGTTTGTGGTCTCCGCTGAGGAAAAAAAAAAGAGAGAGGTGGCTGGGGATTGTGGGAGTTGAAGTTGTAGCAATCCAGAGGACACCTGTTGTCCCCGGCATATCCGTAAAATATTTACAATTTTAAAAATCCACAGGTGAAGATGGCGTAGGAGGTGGCGTCTTCTCGGCATTAAAATGAATCTTACGGTTAAAAAAAAAAACAGGGCTACAAAAAGCAAAATTTAAATAACTCCACACAGGTGATCTGATGATTGCTGTTTAAGGGGAAGTGAGTCAGATTTTGGCACAGGTAAAACAAGCTTGAGTATTTGGTGCCCTGCCAAAAAGGAAGATGAGCCGGTGTCCTGTTCTGAACCTTACCTGTTTGCCCGAGTTGACCTTTGCTGGATGCTTTTCAATTATGCTGTCAAGCTGCGAAGAATAACTATGCGGTGGCATCCATTACTGCTTCTTAGCTTGCCTACAAATTTGGTGGGGGGGGGGGAGAGGGGAGGCTTCAGACATCGGACTGCCAAGCTGTGACCACTAAGGTCACTCAAAAGTTGTTTACTAAGAACTGAAACCCTCTCTCATAATACTTGTCGGATGCTTCACTGGACAATGTGACCTGCACTATTAGGGGGGAGGGAGACTCTATACCAGTGGTGGCGAACCTATGGCACGTGTGCCAGAGGCGGCACGCAGAGCCCTCTCTGTGGACACGCGTGCTATCGCCCCGGCCCCACCTCCTCCCGTGGCCCCCTCCTCACCAGCAGCCCCTCTGGAGGAGAGTTGCCCCTGGGCGCGGCCCGCGCGGAACAGCACAGCTAAGGACATGGCAGCTGGCCAGCAGGGACAATACTCTGTCTTTGCACCCCGTCGTGCACAGATGAGGCTGCAAGGCGCGGGTGGAGGGCGTGGCCGCCAGGGCGCTGCAGGGCCGCCAGGGTGATGTGCGGTAGGCCGTGGAGGTGGTAGGTGGCCCTGTGGGCAAGTGGGGTGATGGTGGAGCAGGAGCGGGCGGGGCAGGGCGAGGTGGGTGGGGTCAGGGCGGGGGGTGGAGCGGGCAGAGTGGGGCGGAGCGGGGGTGGAGCGGGCAGGTTGGGGCGGAGCAGGGATGGGAGGGGTGGTTTTGGGGCACTCGGTGTCTAAATGGTTCGCCATCACTGCTCTATACTTTTAATATACTGATTTTGGCACCAGTTAACCAGAGCTGGTTTTCCTTTCCTCTGTGCCAAAATGGTGTGCTCAATAAAGTTTTGCATTAGAGATTGCATCGCCTCAGCTATACTTACTTTGTTGGGTTCATCAGTCGGAACCTTAACATAGGCATTAAATATGAAGGTTGCATCTTCAGTCTTCCAAATGACTCCAGGTCCACCTGGAAGACGTAGAAGGGCTTCTCACCAGTGCTCGCTATTGCGTATATCATTTTGAGGTGTCTCCTAGTGAACTCGTAGACCCAGAAGAGGAATTGAAAAGATTGTTATAAACTCTTAGTTGAATCCCAGCTTTTCCTGGCTTGGTTGCTTTCAGGTGTGTGAGTTGCTTCCAGATTATTCTGGGGTTCCTCAGCTGGGCCACACATTGCTGTGACCCAGTGGTGGGATTCAAATACGGGAACAACCGGTTCTCTGCGTGGATGGCGCTTCCGGAAATTCATTCTGGGCCCGAGCAACAAAAAATTAGCTCCCGGTTCTGCCGAACAGGTGCGAACCAGCTCAATCCCACCACTGCTTTGACCAGAGGTAGGCAACCCTGGCTCTTTTATGACTCGTGGACTTCAGCTCCCAGAATTCCTGAGCCAGCATGGCTCAGCTTGGAAACTCTCCCTTTCCCCTCAGCATGGCTGGCTCAGGAATTCTGGGAGTTGAAGTCCATGAGTCATAAAAGAGCCAAGGTTGCCTACCCCTGGCTTTGACCATCCAGGATGGATTCCATTTCTAATCTAACTTCACAGCGTCTACTCTATTGGTGTCTATCAAGCAGGAATTATAAATTACATATCACCTCGGGATTTTTTCCCCCTCTGATAAGTCTTTTTGAAGAGTATGTTTCATTCATTTTCTCTTCCCATGGAAAGAGAAACCCCCGGGACACTGCAACCGTCATAAGTACAAGCCAGTTGCCAAGTGTTTGAATTTTGATCACGAGGCCACGGGGATGCTGCAACGGACGTAAGTGTGAAAAACGGTCATAGGTCACTGTTTTCGGTGCCTATGTAACTTTGAACGGTCACTAACCGAATGGTTGCAAGTAATTACTTGCAGTACAACTGAGACTTCTTTACTCCATGCTTAGTTTTTTTTTATAGTCCATGTCAGCTGTTTGGCTGTGGAAATTAGAAGAGTTTCAAATGCCACCCGTTCGTTCCCTTTTCGTCACGCTCCACAGCAGTTTGTTTCATATTGTTGAGCTCCCTTACACAACACACACGTGGCTGGCACCTGTATCCCAGTAAGTAGCCTTACTGCTCTTTTGACAGATGTTGCAAACAGCCTGAAATTCTTCCGCTGAAAAGAAACGCAGGCTCCAACCACCGAGAAGTTGCCAGATTTTGTGATTGGATTACCGTGTCTCCTGCTGTTCCTTAGTCCACAATGATTAACCGTTGTTTGCGGCTGGGTGGGAAGAGGGGAACGGTCTAGCTGCCTCTAAAGAAAAGATTTACAGCCTCTTCCTTCAGGCTCTTTCGTGGGAATTTACTGTTGAGGTCCCCTAGTTGCTGGTTTAAAGACAGTATTTGTTGCTTCAGTGACTCCATCCAGCCCCCTCCTTCTCTGTCGTCCCCTTCTTCTTCTCTTGCCCTCCATCTTTCCCAGCATCAGGCTCTTCTCCAGTGAGTCCTTCCTTCTCATTAGGTGGCCAAAGTACTTGAGTTTCAACTTCAGGATCTGGCCTTCTAAAGAGCAGTCAGGGTTGATCTCCTCTAGGACTGACCGGTTGGATCGCCTTGCAGTCCAGGGGACTCGCAGGAGTCTTCTCCAGCACCATAGTTCAAAGGCCTCCATTCTTTGGCGCTCAGCCTTTCTTATGGTCCAGCTTTCACAGCCATACATTGCAACTGGGAAAACCATGGCCTTGACTATACGTACTTTTGTTGGCAGGGTGATGTCTCTGCCTTTTAGTATGCTGTCTAGATTTGCCATAGCTTTCCTCCCCAGGAGCAAGCGTCTTTTAATTTCTTGGCTGCAGTCCCCACCTGAGGTGATAAAATCTGGCACTACCTCCATTTCCTCCCCATCTATTTGCCAGGAATTGAGACAGTATAGAAAGAAGCAATGCCGCGTTGGTTTTGTTAACTGCGCGTTAAGGAAAGTTTGGCTTCCTTTCCACTGCAGGGCCTTTAAAACCAAGGCGTTTGTAGTGGATTTGATGAGAATTTAACTTGAATTTCACGGCTTGGTAAAGTCTCTGCTCGGTTGGGAACCTGGTGGAAGGTTTAGCACATGGTCCTGGTGCAATTGGGGGGGGCACGGTGGCTCAGAGGCTAAAGACGCTGAGCTTGTCAGCTGGAAAGCTGGTAGCCTGGGTTTAAGACCCAAAAGCCGTGCGACAGGGTGAGCTCCCGTCCTTTGCTCTAGCTCAGGGGTAGGCAACCTTGGCTCTTTTATGACTCGCGGACTTCAACTCCCAGAATTCCTGAGCCAGCATGGGGGAAACTTTGGCCCCTTCATGACTCGTGGACTTCAACTCCCAGAATTCCTGAGCCAGCTTGGCTCAGCTTGGAAACCTCTCCCTTTCCCCTCAGCATGGCTGGCTCAGGAATTCTGGGAGTTGAAGTCCACGAGTCATAAAAGAGCCAAGGTTGCCTACCTCTGGCCTAGGCCTAGGCCGCTTTCTGACTCGTGGACTTCAACTCCCAGAATTCCTGAGCCAGCATGGCTCAGCTTGGAAACCTCTCCCTTTCCCCTC